TGCACTCCTATGTAAGAGGGAAACTCAACAGGTCTGCTAATTCCTTCCTATAATAAGAGAAAATAAAGGCAGGCACCAACACCTTCTCAGGCCACTCCTCCTGTCCCCACCCTCCATCTCACCTTCACTCAGAACAGTGTCAGAGAAGCCTGCCATCTTAGAACTCTAGGCCCTTAACTTAGAACCCTGTTCCTAAGGTTTACTCATATCAACAATACCATGAGGTATCTGATTCTGTTCTTCACTGGAACACAGTCAACTCTACCTGATGAAAAGAGCAACTACCTAAGACAGATTTCTAAGATGGCCACGCTTCTTTCCCAAGTTAGCCTGGATGGGACACACCTGACACCATAATCCAGCAAATCCTCATTCCAACCCTCTGACTCACCAGGGTTGTAACCGTATAGCTAAAGGTTACATATAAAAGAACTCTGCATAATTCTTGTAAAACACTGTGTGTGTGTGCGCGCGCGTACACGTGGCCACTCATAAGTTTAATGTTTAGCAATTAAACTGACAATAAAATCACCAACAACTCACAATAATGAGTAACATTCACTTACACAGATTAAAGGAACATTCACTGAGCATTCATAATGTATCACATAAAAAAATCACAAAAATCAAAGAGTTGGGTTTAAAATGTCTAAAAATTGGGGTGGGGAGCAAACACCTGCAATCTCAACACTAGGGAGGCAGAGGCAGATGGATCTCTTGAATTTAAGGTGAGCCTGAACTAGAGTGAATTACAGGACAGCCAGGACTACACAGAGAAAGAAACTCTGTCTCAAACACGCTCGCCCCCCTCCAATTTTTTTTTAAAGTCTAGAAATAGCTGGGCAATGGTGGTGCACACCTTTAGTCCCAGCATTGGGAGACAGAGGCAGGCCGATCTCTGTGAGTTAGAGACCAGCTTGGTCTACAAAAGAGCTAGTTCTAAAACAGGCTCCAAAGCTACACAGGGAAACCATCTCAAAAAAACAAAACAAAACAAAAAAGTCTAGAAATAAACAACAAAGTTCTCTGACACAAACTAAATGTCACTTGTGAAAAATGTATAGTAATTTTGAAATAAAATTGCAAGAATTTTCAATGATCTCTCCCAAACCTGGCCTCACTCTGCTTCTTTCTTTAAAGAATGAGATAATTTTGTTTCTATAATGAATGTATAATTTTGATATAAAATATCAGTGTTTGAGAACTCAAAAATTTGAAGCACTTATTTGTGAAAATGTATACTAAAGACTGGATCAGTGGGTAAGAGCATTTGCTCTGAAATCAAAGTCCTATTTGAATCCCAGGACCCACTTTAAAAGCCTGGCACAGATTTGTGTACCTGTAACCCCAGCACTGGCAGCGGAATCAAGCAGATCCTGTAAACTTACTAGCCAGACAACTGAGGGAACTTCTGGTTCATTTATTTAAGAGGCCCTGACTCAGGGTAGTAATAACCACAGAGGAAGACACCAAATATTCTGTTCTGGCCTCCTATTTTGCACACAGGAGGGTACACACAGAAAAATCACATACCTATATAACACACAGCAAATTAAAAAAATACCTACTAAATATCATGAATAAAGAACACAAACTTTTCATTAATGAATATATTCTAAGTTAATGCAAAGTGTCAGGAGGAGCAAAATCCACACCGAAGGTTGTTGGGTAAATTAATCCTTAAATCTTCCCTTTTAGTTGCCAGTTAAGACAAGCTGCTAATCCTTGTCAGGGCTGCCTTCATCTGAGGTAGGCCTGGCACAGCAGCCCAGGTTCCTGGATTAAAGAAGTTTTAGTGGTAAGCATTTTCACAAAGTAAGGCTATCACCATTTTTAGAATCTTTGTCAACTTCTTTTCAGGAAAATATCCTTCTACTTATCCTTCCTTTGCTTCAATAGGCAGGTGAAGTGGGAACCACAGAGCCTCAGAGGCAGAAGGAGTGTGAGCTCTAGCCTTGTCCTCTCTCAGGAAAGATAATCTAGCACATTATGCTGATGCACAGAAGAGGGAGGAAGGACAGCAAAAGACTAGGAAGTCTGCCTGACAGAAGACATCACCCAGATTCTATAGCACAGGAATAAATAAGCCTCATTTTAAGAATGCAAGTTTTTACTTTTTCTTTGAGGCATAGAGCTCAAATTCAGGGCCTGGCACATGCTTGGCAAAGGCTCTCCTCTTGATCTGCCCTGACCCTCAGCCCTGACAACTACATTTTTAAATGCTTAGCGAGTTCCAGGAACCACCACAGGAACACCAGGGGTCCTAGCGCATAGGACTGATGCTTGTGCTTCATTTCCATACAGACAGCTCCTAACCAGTTCCCTAAATCTCAGGAGTTTCTTTCCTTACTAGAGAAAAACTGCTCTCATTTGCTAACATAGTTTGCCCACAGTATCACGCACTTCAAATCCCACACCTCGGGCTTACCTCACTCCCTGCTTTCACACCCCACCTTCACAGCATTTTAGTTATTTATTCCACAAACACGGGGGCTGGAGAGATGGCTCAGAGGTTAAAAGCACTGACTGCTCTTCCAGGGGTCCTGAGTTCAATTCCCAGCAACCACATGATGGCTCACAACCATCTACAATTCAATCTGGTGTCCTCTTCTGGCAGAATACCATATATGTAATAAATAAAAACCTTTAAAAAATTTTTTTAAAAATTTATTCAACAAACACCTGTGAGCATCATGCTGGCGATCATGGGATCCTGTAAGCTATAGGTGGTCAATGGACAAAAGAATCTGTCTTAGAAGCCTTGAGTTCAATTGAAGTTTCAAGTCTGATTTATTAGGTTAGATCTTGAGCATAGCAGGTTGTCAGGGTGCGTCTACAACTGTACCCAGAAGCATCACGCTCTCCAAAGTGCTCTTGGGTAAAAGCGGGTACAACTGTGCAGCATGCATCCAACAAATGAACCATACACTAACACGACTGTTCTCAAGATGCAGAGAAATCTACACATTCTTCTAAGCTTAGACGGACAGGAAGCAAAGGCCTTAAAAAGGACTCCAGAGTCCTTCAGCCACTAAGAATGTCTCCTTGGCTGTCATAGCATCCCACATAATGAGCTTCCAGGTGAGGGCATCAGGAGCTGCGCACTCTTTACACTGTATGGTGGTAAATGCCCACGAGTCAAGGAAACCCTTTGCCAAGCTGAAGCAGGAGGATCATAAGTAGCAAGCTAGCATATAGTAAGATCCTGTTTCCAAAACCAAACACTTCCTCAAAAGAAGGGTAAGAAGACTTCATCTTACTGTCACCTCAAGTCTTAACAGACAAGTAACCAAAGACAACACTTTTAAGAGCTTTTTGCCTTTTAGCTAGTAGCATATCTGACTTTAAAAATCTTTTAACTTTCAAATAATCACTGATCAAAAGTTGCAAAGAGATTTACAGGGAAGTCCAAAGCACCTTTCTGGTACCCTACTAACTGGCTGTACTTTTTACAACGGACAGGGGAAAGTTGGTGGAACAAACTGTCTTTGAGAATACATGGTTCCCTGTACATCTCCCAGGAACCCAGTGCCTTTCAAACATTCAGTACTCACTGACTTCCTGGTGAGATGGCCATAGCCCAGCTGTTACTAAGTTCATTTGCATTCATTCAGTAAATACTGGGCACATACTATGTGACTTCTTAAAAACTAAAAAAAATGTTAAATACGTTAATACATTAAGCAAGAGTCATGTGCTGTGTGAAAATTAAGCAAGCAAGGAAGGGAGAAAAACGGGAAGTAAAGAGGTGAAATTATAAGTAGTAGAATCTATGAATATCTCACAGAAAAGAATCAAGGGCTGAGCACTTAAATTTGTTCATAGACTAGCAAGGAGTCTGCTAGGCAGGGAGGGAGTTTAAAACTCTCTTCCCAAAAGGGTCTTCATTCAGAGTTTACTCTGGCTCCACCCTTGGGGTCCACGCAAACAAGGCCAACCTAAGTATGAAAACACTGACAGCGGCCAGGCAGTGTGGTGGTGCATATCTTTAGTCCTGGCACTAAGGAGGCAGAGGCTGTGCTGACTTCACGTTCAAGGCCAGCGTGGTCTACACAGTGAGTTCCAGGACAGCCAATGCTACATAGAAAAACCAAAAGAAAAACAGAAAAAACACTGATACAGATAGCAGAGTCTTAACACATTAGGTCAGAAACGGTCCAGAAGCACTTAAGTCATGGCTTTTTATGTCAACCAACAGATCGCTATTTCCTTAAATAAAAAAAAAAAATATCGTACAACCGTTAGAGTTCTGCCTTTAGGTAATCATGACAATAGATAGGTCAATATAATTCTTTCTGTTATTAAGTAGTGTTTTTTTTTAAACAGACAAATCATTAGCAATTCCGATATGGTGCCAAAAAGGCACCAAACGTCCAACAAACGGCGACCCAATTTTCCATAAGTCCAACCTGAAAACGAAGCTACTTTTGCATTCTTTTTCCAAAGACGTACTTAAAGAATTCGGAGAAATCATCTCTTAGGCACAAGGAAAACCAAGTTTTTAATCCAGCCACAACACAAGTTGGAGCCTAAACGGATGAGTCCCTAATAACTCTCCCTAGCAGCATTAGACAAAAGCGCCTCTTAAAATGTCGTTGTGAAGCATATAATTTTGTTTTCTGTTTTTTTTTAACAGGTAAATGCTTTTTTGAAATTTACAACTGTAAGGCAATTTTCCGCGCCCCAGGCTGTGAACGAAGCCTCGGAGCCTTCACTGCCCACCTCCCTACACCAGAGTTTCTGCGTCCTGGGTGCCGCGGAGGCGGCCGCGCGTGCGGACCCGGGTTGGCCCGGAAAGCCTCGTCCCCGCGCCACACCGCCGTGCGCAAGGTCGAGCGGGGCCTAGCGGCGCCCAGGGCCCAGCCCGACTGAAGGCCGGCCGCCATTTCCGGCTGTGGGCAGCCTTCACCTCGTTCTGCGGCGTCCTCGCCCCTCTCCCCGCCCCTCCCCCGGCTCCCGCGGCTCCACCTAATTCGTGGGCCATCCGGCAGTGAGCTCACCTGTCGGCCCGCCCGCCTGTCCACCGGTCCCGCGGCTCGGCTCTCCGTACCGGCGCTGCTGGGCAGCCGGCCGTCCTACAGCTCGGCCTGAGGATCCGGGGCGGCGACAGCGGTACCAGCGGCAGAGGACGGCGGAAGCAGCACCGGCGGCAGCGAGAACGCGCACGCTCACGAAGTGGCACTCGCGCCCCGGAAGGACGTGTGCTCTGCGGGTCAGAGCCGGCTGCGCAAGCGCCCAGAGAGCCACAGAGGCCCACAGGCGGAGCCAACGTAGCAGTCCTGCGCGGAGGATCAGGAGCTCCGGTTGAACTCGGTCCCAGAAAGGCGGTGCCCGGATTGTGGATCTGTGGGAAGGGTTAAAGAGGTGGGCGGAGCCTGCAGCCTCTAAGCCCGACGCCCGGCAGGGACTGGATCTAGGCGTGAGGGTCGCTCCAACGGCTGTGGACAAGAGGTGACTCAGATGCTCTGGAAAGCAGACAAGCAGCACTCCACTGAGTAAATGCGCCCTTGTCTTGCAGTTGAGTTTGCTCAGTGCTTCGCTTAAGCCTCAAAAAAATTTACTACTCCTTACCAAAATCTAGAGAGAGAGGGAGATGGCGGGGAGAGGCAGACCTTCATCTTCATCTCTAGCCACTGCCGTGAGACTGACATTTTTTGTTCATCTCTGGAGACGACTCAGAAAGGACTCTATTGCTCGCCTCCCCAGTCACTGAAAACAATCAACCGCCATTACTTAGCGATCCTCTAGGAATCCACCTGCATCATGTGGATTGCACGGATAAGGACTTTCCTTCTCACTCTCCCATACAATCCTTGTTCATCCTGTTCATTTACTAAGGAGAAACCTGGTCCCCTTGCCTATTACCCCCTGTACCCGGGTATTCTGATGCACACCTTTAATTCCAGCACTCAGGAGGCAGAGGCAGGCAGATCTCTTGAGTTCGAGGCCAGTCTGGTCTACAAAGCAAGTGCCAAGACAGTCAGGGCTACACAGAGAACCCCTGTCTCGAAAATAATCATACCATTTCAAGTGCTACTGAGTTTTTAGGCAGATAGCCAGAGCTACCAAAATGGTCTTTGTGGCCAGTGCTCCTACACTGTCACTTTCATTCTTGCCTATCAACCATTTTCTATTATAATTTTTAGATTATAACTCCCTTATTTCCCCCTTCCCCCTCCAACCCTCTCATGTTCTCTCTCCTCTCTAAATCCATGGCCTCTTTTTTTGTTGTTGTTTATATAAATTCAATCTGTATGTCACGTGTATGTGTTTCTGTTTTTCAAGGCTGACCAAATTGCTAGGTGCTTTCCTCAGGAAGATTGTTTCTCTAGCTCTCACAATTCCTTAGTTGCCTGTATTTCTTTGTTTAGGGCTAAGGCCTTGTGGGCATTTTCCCTTACACATTAGCTTGTCTGCTGATGTTGTCCTTGTTCGGGTTGAAGTTAGTCAGCCATGTTGGCTAGACTTCATGGTTGTAGCTTCTCTGATATTAGAGCAAACTTCCTGTTCCCCGAGTTCTTATACTCTCCTTCCCCCACTTTCACAATGATCCCTGAGCCTTAGGGGCAAGAGCTGTGTTGTAGATGCATCAGTTGGGACTGGGCTCTACAACTCTGCATTTTGATAGCTGCAGTTTTCTATAATGACCTCCATCTATTGGAAAGAGGTTTCCTTGATTAAGGGTGAAAACTACACATATCTGTGGGTACAAAGATAACTATTTAGGATGCAATTAGGGATTATGCTGGTTAGTAAAGTGATCCATGGACTTCACAAGCCCCAGATAGTTGGCTAGGTTTCCAGTATCAGGCATGATTCCCCTCTTGCTGAGTAGGCCTTACATCCAATCAGAGAGCTGTTGGTCATGACCAAGGCACAGATGGGTGCCACGAATGCAACCATAAGTCAGCTTTCAAAACAAAGCAAATGGCACTCAAGACCTTCCATAATGAACTTAGCAAAATCCAATCTTTTCCAACAGGGTCTGTTCACCATCACCCAACAGGATGTCTTCTCTCTTCGTTTATACTTGGTGCACTCTGGCTGAATTTGAATTGACATGTTCCAGGCTCAGACTTTGAGCAGCAGATAGTTTACAGTCCAGGCATTGGTGGTTCACACCTTTAATCCCAGCACCCGGGAGGCAGAGGCAGGCGGATCTCTGTGAGTTCGAGTCCAGCCTGGTCTACAGAGCGAGTTCCAGGACAGCCTCCAAAACAAAAAAGAAACTCAATAAGTTGCACAACATGAAGCAAGTAAGAAAATCAATAAGCAGAAAGACCATGTTATCTATTGACTCAGAGAAGGAAAGCCAGGTACAATGCCACAAGCCTGTCATCCTAGCAGAAATAGGAGGTGCTTGAATTTGAGGTAGGAGCTATATAATGAGACCATTTGAGGAGAACACAAGTGAAAAATTTCACAGTTGGAAGAAATAGCAAAATGGACCTGGAACCCACTGAAAACTGAAGCTATGATGAAGCTATCTATGTTGGGAACTGAAAGAAAAATTAATCAGGCCTTAAGTGAACCCATCAAGGTCTAGGATTGTCTCCTAATATCTCCAAATACTTAAGTTTTATGTACTAAGATGTTTGTGGTAGTATCATAAATAATAGTGAAAATGGCAAAAATTTTACACCTTTAATCAACAGCAGGAGGATTTAGAGTTCAAGGTCAGCCTGGTCTACAAAGTGAGTTCCAGGACAGCCAGAGCAACCTTATCTTGGGAAAAGAAACAAAAATTTATAATAGTAAAAATGGAAAATTGCCACCCAAATGCACAAATAAGCACATTCAAATGGAATACAGCCATTAAAGTATATGCAAAATGGCTGGATAGTGGTGGTACATGCCTTTAATCCCTGTGAATTTGAGGCCAGCCTGGTCTACATAGTGAGTTCCAGAACAGCCAGGACTACCCTGTCTTGAAATAGAAAAACAAAAGAGCATATACAAAATAGCTATGGGGGTGGGGATGGGGGTGGGGAAGGACATGACATGGGATGGGACTGGACGTGACTACAACACACATGCACACCCAATGCTTGTGATAGCTCTTTACAGTAAACTCTGCAAAAGCACGTTTTAAAAAATTTACAAATGTTCACAATTAAGTAAGCCAATCTTTTTGTTTGTTTGTTTGTTTGTTTATTTATTTATTTATTTTAATACTGGCTTTCTCTGTGTTGTCCTGGCTATCCTGGAACTCTTCATAGACTAGACTGGCTCACAGATAGCTGATGTGAAATAGAATTATCTGTTTAACTATGTAACGATGTGTTGCATTTGTTTATCCTGTATTTGTTTGACTATGTTTCACCTTGCCTGCCTAAGGTACCTGATTAGTCTAATAAAAAGCTGAACTCTCAACAGCTAGGCAGAGGAGGGAAAGGAGGGGCTGGCAGGCAGAAAGAAAAGGGAGGTCAGTCAGTCAGCCACACGTGAAAGGAGTAGGACGGACATAGATGAGGTAAATGAGCTTTGGAGTAGCACATAGATTAATAGAAATGAGTTAATTTAAGTTTTTTTTAAAAAGCTAGCTAGAAATAAGATAAGGCTGAGTATTTACAATTAAGTTGCTGTGTCATGATTTAGGGGCTGGTGGTCTAAGAAAGCTTGCTACAGATATTCACCTTCCTCTGCCTAAGTGCTGGGACTGAAGGTGAGCACCGCTATGCCAAGCTAGTAAGACAACATTTAAGAGACCATATGACAGGGAGATATCTGACAAATACTGGCAGTAGTTAATAATTTGAGGGGGTGGGGCTGGAGAGATGGCTCAGTGGTTAAGAGCACTGACTGTTCTTTCAGAGGACCTGGGTTCAAGTCCCAGCAGCCACATGGCAGCTCACAACTGTCCGCAATTCCAGTTCCAGAGAACCTGACACCCATGGCAAAGCACCAAAGCATAAAAAACAAAAAATTAATAAATTTTTAAAATATAATTTGAGGGGGTTTTCATATTTGCCTTTGATGCTAAGTGCTTTACTTAACCCTTCATTTAAATAAGGCACATTCCACCATCGTCAATCTGAGTCTTCAGATATGGTTGCTTTTCCCCAGTACAAGTCCCTCAAATGTGTCCTGGCTCTACCCATTCCATTCATTCCAGTCCACCACATGCTCAGACCTTCATCACACCTCATTTTATTAAAACCAAAGTTGTTCAAAGGAAGACTCCTCAGATCTGGGCCAATGAGCACAATCATGCACCCATAGAGCCTGGCAAACAGTCTCTTAGCCACTGATGAATTTAAGGTATCTGCTTAATGGTTGGAATGTACTGGGCTGTCTTCCAATATAACCTAGGGTAAATACTGAATTTCTAGTCCAGATCCAGTTGCTACACTGCTCAGTGTGAGGGTCACTCCCCATCCCACACATACCACTCACCCCTTCTGACCTGGGCAACAACTCCAACTTACCCTGTTCACTAAGCACTTAAGGGTCTTCAATTACAAATCATTTCACATGGCCCCTCATCTGCAGAATAGGATCACATCTCCTAAGGGTTGTTATGCCATGGAGTGACAGTCTTCTCCTAGTAGGGCTTAAGATGCTGGTCTTCTCAGTGCCCACTTCTGCCAGATGAGTTCCTGGGTCTGACCCAACCTCACGGCAAAAGCCAGCAAAGCTAAATGATCACAGGGACAAAAAGACCCCTTCAGTGCAGCCAATCTTAACGGACTGCAGGCCCCTCAACTGCATGCCTGGCATGCATCACTGGTCTCATCCAGAGATGCAAGTTCTACACAATTCCCTCCCCTTTATATGCACACTAATGATGTGTAATTTGTGCGTGATTGTCTCCTGTCTGCCCCCATTCAAAGCAAGGAATCGTGTATTCACTCCCCACTCTTTGTCATTATCCTAAAAGACACACCAAACAAATCGATGTGGATTTTCCTCCAAAGGAATGCTTTATTGACAAGTTGCCTGTTATTCTTTGTAGGAAGATACATCAGTGACCTGCACTCCTGTAGCCTGCCTCCTCACCCTATTGTATTTAACCCTGAAAGAGAAGACACCAAGATATCTCTTCTTCAGCTCCCCAGTTCCTCGATGTTCCTTGCTTTGTGTGGTAAAGTATTCTAAGGGTATCGAAAGAAACCAAGGAACTTGATAACCAAAGGATACATCACACCGGATCAGACCAGATACTAAAATGGACAGACCCGATCC